TGCCCGCCCTCGCTCCCTCACCGCCTCCCTCAGGGCAGCGGCCCGGGCCGGTCGCTCCGCAGCCCCGCTGTGGTTCGGAGGGTCGGCTCTCGGCTGCTGCTGAGGGAGAGCTCCGAGCCGGCGCTGTCTGAGCGCTCTTCCACACAGAATTACAGTTTCTAAGTCAGAACGGTTTGGAACTTTTAATCGCAAAACAAATTAATTGATGCGAGCTAAAAAAAAGACTTGGGATAATTCCACCTGCCACGGGTAGCTAACGTCTATAACGAAAGCTCCTTACAGGACCTATTTGCAATACCCGGTAACCAAAAAGCTGTGAGAAGGGATAACTTTAAATGCACCAACTGTGAAATATTAGTGACTTTTTTTCCTAAAGCACCACAATGTTAATACACAGAGTGTGCACAGCATCAGCAGCACTGGAGGCAGCCGGCACGAAGCGAGACGAGCTCACATGGAAAACACCGTTAAGATTTGTACATTTAGAGAGGAAAGCTGCGGGAAATGGGCTGAGCAGCCCTGCACAGCACTGCCCACAACGAGGGACCTCCTCCAGTCCAAAACAATGACCAGCATTTGTAGGTTCTGGAACGAGAATTACTCAGAGTGGTAACATAACCACAACAAAATTCTCTCCTTCAAGCATTCACATGCTGTAGAAAAACGGTGTGGCTATTTATGTTCAACGACCAACACGGGTACCTCAGCAGCAGCCCCGCTCTGAGTTGCTGAACTCTTGTATTTCTTATTGCCTGTCCTGCAGCCACACCTGGGCTGTGTGTGCCATTGGGCTGTGTGTGCCATTGGGCTGTGTGTGTGCCAGACGGACTGCAGTCACTGTGGAAGGAGGGCTGCTTACACAGGAGGTTCCTCCCAGCACACAGCATTGATCGCAATGCTCTGCAGTAAGCACGCTCATTCCTCATATTGAGAATCTGTCTGTGTGCTGCACGCTGTCCACCATCAAAACATCCAGTGTGTGGCTCTTATTGTGAAGTGCTCGGTGCACAGGCAGTGCTCAGCACAAGATTGGAGAGTAAACAAAAGCCCAAAGTGTGGCACGGAAATCAAACAAGCAACATTCCCAACAAACAAACCCACCGATGTTGTTTTCTTTTGTGGTGCAGTGGAGTTTGGATGTTTTCTGTGTGCTCCAAACTGGGCATTGCTTCAACTGGAATTACAAATCTATTGTTTGTGATGAGTGCTCCCCCACTGCACTGCACCTGCTGCTCCTGACCTAAGGTTACCACATCAAGTCTGTGTTTCTATTATCAGCATATGAGCATGGTGGTAAACGCATTTCACAGCCACATTCAGTTAGCAGAGCTAAACATAGCTGCCAGTCCAACGTGCAGGACGTAGCTAACTGGATTTATTACATAACCGTGAATTTGTTTGCAGCTGCGTCCCAGCCTGACCAAACAGATGCTGGAAGATATAAAAGGATTGAATTGCCTACATTGCATGCCCAAAATTTGGCTAAATATTTTATGTAGATCATCTGGCAATTTTGCTGTATTATTACTGGTACAGAAAAGACTAATAAACAAGGAACCTTTTTTTTTTCTTCTGATTTGGGCTTGGAGCAGAATGTTAATACTGACAGTAGCATGCTAAGCTTAATATTTATCGCTAAGTGAGACTGAAACAATTACAAGAGAACTGCCTGGGCACTTCTCAGCAGGAGCTGACAGCTGAAGGTCTCCACTGAAGTATGTGAATCCCCAGCAAATTGGCTTTCACTGGAAAATCAAATGCCAAATTAATCACAGATAAAAACAGCAAACTGCTCAGTTCTCTTTGAAAAAATATTTTGGAAAATGTCTGAGAAGCTGAATTTTCTCCTGCTGAAAGCAGAGAGCTATAGAGCCACTGAAGGGTACACTCTGTTCTCTCAGATGAAATATTCTAGCAGTTTTTCTCATTGTAATAGAAATGACTACAGTTAGAACATGAAAACAAGGACAACTTTTACTGCATAAAAGCTGTATAGGAAGCCTTCCTAGAAGAACATGGAAGACATTTAAAGAAGTCCCACAACCTCAGCGTTCTGAAGGTACATTTCTCTTTTGTGTGACGTACCTGAGTGCATTAACACCACAGACTTGGATGTCTTGCATATACTTAGATGTGTTATCAATGCACGACATACAGCTCTGTGCCCTCCAAAACCTTTATGTTTAAACACATGCAATCCTCAGCATATTCACTCGTACAACACAGTAGAGAACTATTATCCCCAGTTTTAAGAATCGGAACTGAAAGAATAAATAAGTGACTTGAGAACATCACAAAACAGAAGCAGCAGCCAAATATAACACATCCTTTATCACCTTGTGTGCTTTCTTATGTAAAAAAAAACAAAAAAAAACCAAAACAAGATGAGTAGGGACTTGCTTGCATCCGAAGGAACCTTCTGTGTTTCAGTGCACAGTGTGGTAAATCAAACAGTTAACAGTCCTAGAAGACAACTTTCTTCATTTGAACAGAATTGTCATTAGAAAATGATTTTTTTTTTTTTTTTTTTAACTTTCATTATCTCCTAAGCTACCTAGAATAACAAAACATACGACCATTTATTAGGACAACCTATTTGTGAGTACTTGTCCTAGCAAGTTCTATTGTGCATCCAAGTGAGATACAAACTCTCCAGTCTTTAAGTTTACTAACATCATATTGGGCAAACGATTGCAAGTAAATACTTTTACCTAATCTGAAAGATCTGTCACCTTCAATGTGACCACATGAAGCTCTGGTGTCAAAATAACATCTAATCCATGGTAATAGCTAAATATTTAAAATACTACTGTAATACCTGGTAAACTCCATGCTAGCACCAAGCACACCCAAAATAATACATAAATAAAAAAAATAAAAGAGGAAAATCATTCTGATTAGAAAAGATAACTCAAATGCACCACCAGAGTTAATTTACTGGTCTTATGAGTTACGTGTAGCTACACCACTTAGCACAACTCTTCCATACGTAACGGAGTAGAGATCAGAAAATATAAAACATCCCAGCTTTTGATTATTGCAGAATCTGAGAAGTTCCCCTTTCATTGGGGAATGAAGCAGTTAGGCAAAGAAATAGCATTGTTTATTCTTTAAATAAAGATCCATATGTACTTTTTACCTCTTTCTTAGAAACAGCAATATTTAAGAAACAATATCTTCATAAATCTATAAACAAGTAATACTCCTACTACTACTGTGATTTACACACATTGATGAACCCTGACTTAAATGCTGTAATGGATTTCTAGAAGACAGAAAGCACTGCTGGAGTCTGTTGTAGTTTAAGTGATCTTTGACAAGTGGAAAAGTACCTCTGTGTCAGCACTGCTACTCTTCAGGTGTATTCCAAGCATTATGAATCAACCATCACCAGGGATATCAGTGATTCAGAAATTTGCAAAAGATGCTGGTATTCTCTGATACTTAAATGAAATACAAGAAGACTGCATGCTAAATTCTCCACATAGAAATGGAGCTTGAGGTATTTATACAATCCTTTGTTATGGAGATTAAATCTTACTCAATGCCTGTTGGCTGCAACTATTCAGGATTTTTTTTCACTATTGTTCCTAAGGTATGACCTAAAAGAAAAGGTCTAGTATTGCACGAGGTGCAGAAAAACTCTAGCCTTATTAGCTACAAAACTTGAATACTGACAAAGTACTAATTAAGACTAAAGCAATTGAAACAACTGCTCTGCACTGAGACTTAGAGAATTTATAAGCAGGTCCTGGCTGCATAGAACCACATCACCCTCACCTTGCTATACAAACAGCAATGGCCAACATGAATGCAGTACAACCACACAAGCTGTAGCACAGACACCTGAATCCAGACTCCTTCCTCTATTCTCAACTTGAATCTTAGAGCAGTGAGATTTAAAAAAAAGGATTTTATTGAGACTGATGGTGGCAATGTATATTTTACCAGCCAAAAATGTTTGGAGTTAGTTAAAAATAGGATACACAGTATAGATGCACTCTGGTTCCTTAAAGTCTTATTAAATCCTGCAAACATCTGATATCTTTCACAGTGAAAGGCAAAAAGCTTGTGCACATTCCCACAAAATCCAGTCAGTAGTGAGGCTGAATCATCATCCCCACAGTTTGAATTTCAGCATATAGGGCCTCCCAATTAAGAATGTTAATCAAGAGGGCTTCTCATCCTGTTGTTTATTTTTTTTTAATACAAGAGCATAAAAGAATTATCAGTTACTTGTTTACACTTCCTCTGCAAACTTTATGTTGCTTTTTTCAGATCTTCATTATTTTGCATTCAGCATAGGGACAAACCAAACAGAAATTATTCTGATTTCTAATTCATGTACATGTACAATGATTTCTCATGTGGTTCACTACTTTGCTTTCTACACTGTTGTTTGACAGACAAGGGAACTGAATTCTTTGGGGAAGTGTAAGCAACACTAAGCTACAGAATATAAAACATGCCTAGAGCCTTTCAGGATAAAATGTAGAATAATCAATGTAGCTTTAGAACTGCATACTATTTTCTTTAACTGTTTGCATTCAGACAAGATAGTGCATCATTTTAATGTGGCCTTTGTAAAATGTCTTCCTAATTTGTGTGCACATAGCACACAATCAAGCATTGTATGATTGATTTCTTAGAAAGCAGGCACTCATTCAAGGTTATGCTAAATGGAACACATTTGCTACAGGGCATGATTAACACATTACTGCTTTCATGACCATGGGTTTGATACAGCCTGCTAAAGAAGGAAGCTGGCCAAAATTGAAACTTGGCATGCCAGTATATTCTATTTTGGTATTTGTGAAATGACCACAAATGCTATTCCAGACTTTGAAGCCCCCTTCACTATGTGAAAAGGCACCCTCCTGCCTTGCAGTTCACACACAGAGCCTACCAACTGGCATATGCCATGTTGTTATGTTTTAAAGCAATCAGTTCCCTCAAGACATAAGCAGGCATTACCGAGCAAATAAAGACACTCATCACTATTCTTCTTAAATTTTATTCCATAATAAAAAATAGAAGATGAAAGAAAGGGTGTTCAAGAATTAAAGCAATTATTGGTCAATATAAGGAACAGAAAACTAATTATCTTGATGATGATTAAGGACCTGGTTCAGCAAAAGTAATTCTGTGTTCTCCCACAGCATATTTGTAGGCTTCTACAAAACAGAAAACCAGATTACCTTTAACTGAAGCAGGTCCTATGCTATTTTCAGAACACTTGACTTCAAATTCTATTTATCCTTCTCTTTTTGCTCTTTTTCCTTCTTTTCACGTTCAGCTTTTGCTTCTTCCTCCTCATGTTGTTTTATCAACTGCTCCACCTCCTTTTGCTTCAGAACCCTTATTACTGTTTTTCCATTCTCTCTTGTCAGTGTTGCAATTTCGACTGAAACACAGGGAACAGACAATGGCATTACATACCATCCTTTTGAAAGAAAATCATCAGAAAGGTCAAGTTGTTACAACTGACAAGGAAGCAGAGGGTTCTTGTCCTGCCTCCATCTAAAAAAGTGTCTGATTGGCAAGCCAGGTGGCAGCAGTTCTGTTCTGCAGCAACATGCACCAGTTTCTTCACACCTCTCCAGTGGTTCTTCCACCAGGCACAGAACCACTTCTGCTGCTGCACCGAAGCCTAGCCAAACCATGGTTAGACACCTGGAGCTGGCCAAAGATGATCATCCTCATCCAAGTCAACTGCATGTCACTTAGCAAAGTTAATGAGGATCATCAAAATTATTTTCTTACAGGAGCCCTAAAATCCAATAAACCACAGCTGAAGTATATAAATTCTCAACATACTTTCTATTATATATATATGACTATATATATGAATATATATATATATAGTCATCCAGAATTAGAGAACTGCTTACCTTTCTCTGCAGAAAGTTTGCTGACATCCATGGTCTTATTTAGAACCTTAATGGCTAATGCAAGTGCAGTCTTTAAGGTCATTTCGCCTTCTTTGTAGTCTTGTTTCAGCATTGACACAGCTGCCTATGAATTCCACAGAAATGTAAATGGTATCATTGGGCAATCAAGCTAAGTTCTTTGCCAGATAATATCAGAACATGAGGAACAGTGTTTCTACAGTTAGCCATTTCTACTCTGCATTCATAATCAACAACTCAGCTTAATTATTACAGTGTCATTTACATAGTTTTGGTTTGCTTTATTCTGAGAGAGAAAAGTAAAAAGAACTTACAGCACTGTTATTGCCGATGCACGTAGCTTTCCATCCTCCATAATTCCCACTGGGATCACTTTGATACAGCTGAAATCCATAATGCTTATCCCAACCGATATACAGCAATGAAACACCAAAAGGACGTTTTCCTGTTGGAAAGAAGGCCATTAGTAACCTAAATTCAGGAACAAGATTGGTCATGAGTGACAATTACTTTCTTTGATTTCCTTTGTCAAATCCATTCCTGTGAAGTAGGATTTAACAGACCATTCTGCGCTTCTGTTACTTGAGATAAGCATTACAGTATTTCTCTCTAAGTGCTGGGGGGATGGGGGGCAGGAAGAACTAGCAGAGATTTCTTTCATTTAACCCTGGCAGCAGCTTATCTCCATCTCCAAAAATTGGAATTTATCATTCCACGACTTCAAATCAAACCTCGGCATTTCAACTACGTAATGCTTATTCAAGCATTTAACTAATGAGAGTCAATCAAACACAAGTATATTAAAAGGTCATTCTTCCACAATGCTCATATACAAAATACCAGAATCATCCATTCATTTACTGAGGAACACTCCTCACAACATCATTTTCTAATTATTTATTTGATCCACAGAAATACTATTTTTTCAAGTGTTACAGTATTGATACTTTGCTTCTTTCTGAAGGCATTCACTGAACCCTAGAGCACTCAAAGCATTATAAGCAATGGGCCTGAGCCTCAGCTATCAATTCCTTAGTGACTAAGAAGTAGTATTTCAGCAGCAAACCAAGAGTTTATAATTATGACTGACTATTCTCTTAAGTTTAGCTACTGTTGTTTCTCGGTGTAACTTGTTACAAAAGAATACCTTCTTCAGAGACTTGGATGCTTCGAATTACCTATGAGAATCTTTTTTTAGACACTTAAAAACACTATGGTTCATCACACTTCCTTACCTCCAAACTGCGTGTAAGCCTGCTTGATATCACACAGTGCAGTTACCAATTGCTCACAAGGAATGGGCTCTTGATACTGTAACAAATACCTATAGCATGAAAGAACAAGGGTTCTCAAAATCTTTTGTTGACAGTATCCTGCTACCACATTTAACAAAAGAACAAGTTCCTAAGCTAAAATAAAACAGATCAGAGAGACTTTAAAACAAAATCTACTTGTAGTAAGTGCATATTCATAGTGATTTAATGCATAGACTGAATCCAACCCCGGAATTAAGCTAACCCCCATAATGACCAGCCAACCTACCTCTGTGCAATCAGTCTCAGCTCATTTGTTAAAACATTGGCATCTGAAGTTATTCCTGCAACACTGCAAGCCATATCCCTGCAAAACGAACATGTGAATTGGATTCCTGTCAGACCCCAAGAAATAGTCACATCTTCATACAACACTTCAAACAGAATGCCTACTGCTGGGCTTCTATGATCGAAACTACACAGCTGCCGGGTAGAACAGATTGATCCTGCATCTAGAGTACACCCTAAGTCTGACATAACCACACTGCAAGAGCAGAGGCAGACAGCAGGAAATGAGCAGGTCAGTACATCATGGGCACGATTCTGAGGACCATACCAAAATGATTAACAGTGCTGACAGCCTCACAAGAGGCACTGGCTACACAGCAGGACCACGCAGAGGCCACCCGTGGTCATGTCAGAACCCACACGAACCCTCAGTGCAATCTGCTGACTCACACTGCATTCATATGAACGTAACTTAGTGATACCAGCCATTAGAAAAGTAACTGTTTTAGCTGAAAATTCATCTTCATTTTAATTATTTCATTAGCTCTTAATTTAGCAGATTTTGCCAAATCTGATATTGCTATAAAACTTTCAGTACACAGAATTTTTATCTTAACCATTTCTCAAAACAGCTGGCCTAGGCAGCCACTCCAGTGCACACTTTATATCACCTCCTTGAAAATCCAGTACTTCCCACAGTTCCAGCTGCTTTCAGGATAACACAGAATGTGAGACTGACAGATGAAAACCTACTTGTGTTTCACAGCGCACCTTACAGCAAGGCTTAAACTCTACTTTCCCTACAGGCAAGACAGTGTAACACTGAACTTCTGAAGAAGCTAAAAATGTCAAAGCAGTGAGATAAGCATCTCTGCTACAACGGTGGCAAAGAAAGCTGAAGCAGGTTTTATCCAATTTGTTTCAGTCTCTTTGAATCACACAAGGAAAAAAAAAA